GTGGTGCATGCCTATAATCCCAGCATTTGGGAGGCTGAGGCAAGAGGATCACCATGAGTTCAAGGCCAGCCTGAGCTATACTGAGTTCAAGGCCAGCCTGAACTACATAGGGAGACCCTGTCTCAAAAACCAAACAAACTAAATAAATAAATAATCCTAGCACTCTAGGAAACTGAGGCAGGAGGATCACAAATTCAAGCCCAGCCTAGGCAACTTAGCAACTTAATGAGACCTTGTCTCAAAATCAAAAATAAAAAGGCCTGGGGATGTAGCTCAGTACAAAGGATCTGGTTCCAGTGTCCAGCTCTGCAGAAAAAGGAGAAAAGGTGAAGGAGAAGAGGCAGCTGGTACAGTGGCACACATTTGTAATCCCAGCACTTGGGAGAGGCTGAGGCAGGAAGATCATGAGCTCCAGGCCACAAGCCTACTCTATACAATACCTTGTCAAAAAAGAGAAAAAGAAAGAAAGAGGGCGGTTCTTGAGTACCTACATTTTATCCACCCTGAGTGATGTTGCAGCCTTTCCAGCCTTGGATCCCAAAGACAGGTATGGTGGATTGACCACTTGTGGTCAACTTATAACCCCCAGCTGAACTGAATAAGCATGGTGCTGGGTGTGGGAGGCCCACCTATGGATTGTCACCAGCAGCATAAGAGGCAGAACTGGAGAAGAAGAAGGAGACTGTTGGGAGCTAAGAGAGGCTGTTGGGAGCTGGTAGAAGCTGCAAGGAGGTGTTAATTCTTTTGGAGGAGCTTGTCATGCTGGCTTTCCTGATGAATTTGGCTGTTTTCATCCTCCAAGGAGCTCAGGACCTCATTGGCACTGAGAACACCTTTGGTTCACTTTACGGGAGCTCTGGTCCTCACTCTGAGCATTGCTTCCTGGCTCTGGAGGGCAAGAGGGTGCACTGCCAGTCTCCTGGAGAAGCTTGCTGCGTTGGCTTCCCTGATGGGAACTCGGCCATCTTGATCACTGGAGGAGCTCGGGACCTCACTGTTGCTGAGGATGGCTGTGGTACTTTTCAAGGGAGCTGTGGTTCTTATTTTGAGCATCACTTCCTGGCTCCAGTGCAGATCCCTCAGCCTGCTGGCACAGATCCTTCATCCCACTGGCACAGACTTCCTAGATTCCATCACTGACCTTTGGGCCTTCCCAGTGCAAATCTGTGAAACAGGCCTGCATGAGACATTGTCATGGGCTCTAGGCCCCTCTTGTGGAAGGCATTGTTATGAGCTCTAAGTCTTCAGCCAGACTCATGCAGGACATTTCTGTGGGATCTAGGCCCTCGGCTAGATTTCTTGGTCTTAGTGTGTGGACAGATTTCCTGCACTCTTGTATAGCATTCTTTGGGTAACTATTATACATAATCTTATAAAATATGTGTCCTGTATTATATTGTTCTCCTTGCAAAAAAACCCCAAACCAACACAACACGTTTCACCACTTCCCAACGAACTAACATTTGGTGAGTACTGCTGACCTCTAAATTCCAGCCCTTGGGTTCCCCTGTACACACCCAGGGCCTTGCACATAATCCTACAGATTATGACAATAATTTTCTGAATTCCTTCTGTATCTTTTATTTATTTATTTATTTATTTGGAGACAGGATTTTGCTATGCAATTCAGGCTGGCCTTGGACTCACTTTGTAGTCCAGGCTGGCCTTGAACTCGCAGCAATCCTCCTACCTCAGTCTCCCGAGTGCTAGGATTTAGAGGCATGTGCCATCATGCCTGGCTGTATCTTTATTTTAAAGACATTTTTACACTATCATATCTTGCTAGATCTTCTGGGTAAACAAAGAATTCCCAAGGTGAAAAACTTGAGGTTCAAAGTGACTCATCTAAAGATCTATGGCACCTCTGTCAACACAAGGACAATAGTTGCCACCAGAGGTCTGCAAGCCTGTGGAGTGGACATGTTTGTCTGACTAGCTGGGAGGCAGAGGAGTGGCACTGGCATGAGAACCATGGGCATAACAGACAGACTTGGGTTCTGATGAGAGTTCTTCTGGTGGTAAAACTACCATAGTGAGAGAGAGAGAGAAAGAAAGAGAGAGAGAGGGAAGTCTCATGGTCCAGAAAGAGGAGGTCTATTTTACGATGTAATTTTCTATTTTTTTCTCTTTTGTCTTTTTGAGACAGGGTTTCATTATGCATGTCAGGCTGGCCTTGAACTCACTTTATAGCCGAGGCTGGCCTTGAACTCACTTTATAGCCGAGACTGGCCTCGAACTCACAATGATCCTCCTGCCTCACCCTCCCGAGTGCTGGGATTACAGGCCTGCACCACCACAGCCGGCAGGATGTAATTTTCTAGCCTGAGTAAAATAGAGCAATTAGGGAAGTGCTTTGAAAGCAGAAACTTAGCTTACTGTTATAGCCCTGATGCCTAATACAGTTCCAGGGATATCAATGTTGCTCAATAAATGTCTGTCGGCTGAAGAGGAGATTTGGAAGGAAGAAGGCAGAGGAGAGAACTTGGGAGAGTTCAGAATCAAGAATCAAGAGGGAGAGAGCTGAGGAAAAGGAAGTCCAGGAGAAGGACTGTAGACAGGTGGCCCTGCTTTGCTTACTCTGAGCCACTAGTAAATCCTCCAGAGGAACAGGGTTCTGTGGCTTTAAATGACTTCAGCATTGTCAATGAATCTGCTTTGCTAAAAGAGTTATCCTCTTGCTCCTGCACTTGGCCTCCCCCTCCTCTCAGCTCCCCAAACCCTTCTCCGCTGCTGTGATGGGATAATTAGATGCGAGAGCTCAGCGCAGATGATGCTCCAGTTGCTTAGCAACTAATGGTTTCCATGGAGACCGCAAAGCACAGCCTCCAGAGCAGCCAGTGAGCAGCTCGGCAGGGCAGGGAGAAGACGCAACTCTCTGCTCCTCCAGAAACCTGGGGAGGGTTGAGGTGGGGAAGGAGGGGCGGGTTGGAGGGAAACGGGAGGGCTTAAAGGCCCAGGGCCCTCATATCCTTTCAAATTCTGGTCAGAGATCCGCCCTCCCTTACCCCACTCTGTCTCGCTCCTAATTTCAGATAGGGATGAGGGTTTAAGACAGGACCCAATGCAACCTGCCCTGCAATAAACCCAGCCTCTTCTCCTTTCTGCTTCCTGGTTATGAGCGGTATGGGAAGAGATGCCTCCCAAGCCCAAGTGTAAACATCCTGCCTGTGGGTGATGGGATTTGAGAAGTCCCAGGAAGAGCCCCTCACCCTGGCGAACCACCATTTAGTCTCCTCTCTCTCAAGTTCTCCTTCATATAGGAGAGACCCCTTTCAGTTTATAGAGTGGGAATAGGATCTGATCTGAAGGGACAAAAGCCAAGGGACAAGAGAAATGGAATTCAATTCCCTATCCAAAGGCACAGTGAGGGAAGAGGGCCAGCCCTTACCTCTATCAGACACTGGGGTATGTGTGTGTGCGCGTTTGTGTGTGTGCATTTGTGTGTGTGTGTGTGTGTGTGTGTGTGAGAGCGCACGCACGTGTGGCAGGAAGGCGCCCATACCCAAACCTCTGACAGCTCCAGGTGTGGGTCTTTCAGGCCAGCTCCAGCGGTGTTACCCAAAAGACTGTGAGAAATGCAGGATTTCAGGCCTCAGCTGAGACCCACTGAATCAGAATCTGCATCTTAACAAGGTTCCTGGTGATTCACATACAGATTAAATTTGGAGAAGCTCTGACCCGAGATGTTTCCACCCTCTGCTTGGGCCAAGAGTTCTATCTTTACTGTCATCAAGCACCGTGCTCCAGGCTTTGAGGTCCCCCCCTACACACACACAGTTGGGTAAGGACATGACCCCTCGTACCCCAACTCTCCCACTAGGACTCTGGCCACCCTCTAGGACTGGGAAAGACAGCGTGGTCAACAAGAACTACAGCAGCACCCTCTGTAGAGCACAGGCCTCTCCAGTTCCTATGTCTACAAAGAGCCAGTCACACCCAGCGCTCAGGATGCCACACGTTAAGCGTGCAAGGCATGCAGAGCGTCTGCCCAGAGCCCAGAGTAGCCACATTCTAGAACAGGGGTCAGCAGGAAATTGTGTCTTTTTCATTTGTCTCTTACCAGGTGTTTCTGTTTTACTCATTTTGCAGTACTGGGGATGGAACCCAGGGCCCTGCACATGCTGAGCACATGTTTGTTTGTTTGTTTGTTTCGGTACTGGGAATCGAACTCACAACCTTGCGCTTGCCAGGCAAGCGCTGTGCCACTGAGCTAAATCCCCAGCCCACTGAGCACATGTTTTACCCTTGAGCTATAGCCCCAGCCTTATTCCCCAGCCTTATTTCTCTCTCTTTTTTTTTTCCTCAATCAGTTCCACAAATGCTTGCTGACTACAAATGTTTGCTGGACTTAGCCACTGTCCCCCTCTTTCCTGGCCTCCCATGCCCCACCTCCAGAGGGGTCTACGGGCCTGTGCTGTCACCCCTACCTCTCTCAGAATGGCAGGACCTGAGTCTCAGTCTGAAACTTTTTTTTGTACTACCAGGAATCGAACTCAGGACCTTGAGCTTGCCAGGCAGGCACTTGTGCCACTGAGCTACATTCCGGCCCCTTCAGTCTGAAACTTTTGAAACCAAGCCTGAAACTTTTGGCTCCACCACCTGCACCACCCAGTAGCAGTCCCTTTCTCTCCCATTCTCGGGAGCCCCCCAGGGGCTCCCTCTCCTCTGGCTGAAATCAGGGCAACTTCAGGACTCAAGGGCCCTCCTGGGAAGGCCCCCATCACCTGGGGAGGCAGCCCCCCACCAGGCCAGGCTCCAGAAACACACACACAAGGACAATGCCTCACCCTTGGAGGCCCAGAAAAGGGGGGGCTCATCCTGCCCCTCTGCACCTGAGCCTCCAGGACTAGACAGGGCACCCCCCTTCCGGCCTGAGGGCCAGCTCCCCATCCTGAAAAACCTGTCTGGGCCCCCTCCCTCAGGCTTCAGGGCCCCAGGGGCAGGTTGGACAGGATTCCTCTCCAGCTCCTCCCACCCCCAGGACAAAATCAGCTACCCTGGGGGCAGGGACTCACTTGCCTCTGGAAGCCCCAGCCTCCAGCACCTGTTCCTGTTGCAGCCCGGCCCGGGATGGCATCCTTGCTGCCAGTCCACACCTTGCCCTTGTTGCTGATTCTGCTGGCTGTCCCGGCCCCTGGGGCTGCAGGTCTCTCTGCTGTCTGGGGGTGGCGGGGGGTGATGGAGAGGAGCTCAGAAGTCTTGACAGAGGCACTGTGCCTGCCGGGGCTCTCAAAGGGACTCGGTGTGGCTGGGGATGGCAGTGACCAGGCATCAGGCCCGGGAGGCAGAGAAATGTGTGAAAGGGCCCAGGCTGCAGGGAGGAGTGAGGTTGGGGGCATTGCTTGGCTCCTGGCACCCAGATCTGGCTCTGGGGCAGCTTGGAGGAGTCATCAGCTTCTGCGGTCCAAAGCTGCCATCTGGTGGCCAGAGTCACACAGGGCCGGCAGTTTCCCCCCAGGCTGCAGAGGGAAAGAGGAGATGGACCTTTCATCCTTAGCGATGGCTCCAGGGAGGGCTTCAGCCAGATCTGGCCGCTGGGGAGGGCAGTGATTCCCGTCTGAGTCTCTTCCTGGCCTCCCAGCAGAATTCAACATCTCAAACCTGTCCGGCCTACTGTCCCCAGCGCTAGCGGAGAGCCTGCTGGTTGCCTTGCCCCCTTGTCACCTCACAGGAGGCAACGCCACCCTGATGGTCCGGAGAGCCAATGACAGCAAAGGTCTACCACTCGCTCCCCCGGGCATCCCCCTGAGCCCCAGAGACCCCTTCCCGGAACACCCCCTGCACCCCTCCCCGTCCACGCCTCCCTTCACCCCCTTTCCAGCTGCCCCTTCTCTGTGAGGCCTCCAGAAACCTGACCCTGACTTTCACTCCCAACTTCCCGCCCAGTGGTGAACTCCAGCTTCGTGGTCCCTCCATGCCGGGGTCGCAGGGACCTGGTGAGTGTGACGGACAGCGGGGCTGGCTTCACGATCACTAGGCTCAGTGCGTACCAGGTGACGAACCTCGCCCCGGGAACCAGATACTAGTAAGTACCCGACCCAGGCCCGGGCACCTGTGCAGCGGGGGTGCGGGAAGAAAAGCTGGGGAGGGCGTTGGTCAGCATGGGGGAGCGCACAGATGGGAGGCACAGCTGTGCCCGACCTCCTTTCCCTCGAGTCCCTGGTACTCACCCCGCGCTGTTTCCCAAACCCTGCCCCAAAGCGTCTCCTACCGAGTGCAGAAGGGGGCGTCCACGGAGTCCAGTCGAGAGGTCCCAATGTCCACGCTTCCTCGTGAGTGACGCCCCTCCTCCCTCTCATGTCTCAGGGTCCACAGACCTTGCTGAGCCCCCACCTCCTCTCGCAGTCCAGGCTGGCCGCGCCCCTGCTTACCTCTGTCCTCTCACGGAGCCCGAGGCTCCTGGTCAGGGACGGTGTCCTCCTAACTTCCGGGTCCCCGGCGACTCACACAGGAGGCACCTCATGAATGTTGGCCTGCGGGGTGCTCAGGTCTATGGCTGGCGGGTTGGTCGCACGGGCGGCTGGCTGATGGCTGAATGAGGCACTAGGCTGTGAGCCCCAGGGAGGCCAGGGCCCCTCCTGCCGGCACACGCTCCTCTCCTCTCTCTTCTGCCAGGAAGGAACGTGGAGTCCATTGGGCTGGGGATGGCCCGAACAGGAGGCATGGTAGTCATCACAGTGCTGCTGTCCGTGGGCATGTTCGTGCTGGTGGTGGGCCTCATCGTCACCCTGGCACTGGGCGCCCAGAAGTGAGGAAGGCTGTCCTGCACAGCGGGCTTCTCCAGGACGGTCCCTGCCCCCAGCATGCCTCCTCCCAGGCCTTGGTCACCACTCTGGCTCCCTCAATGCCCGCCCCACGCCCCGCGCCCCGCGCCTCTCCCCTGGAGCCCTTCCTCTCTCTGGGCCTCGCCTTGCCTGCCAGGGCCTCCCCTCTAATGTCCCCGTTAGTCCCCGCCCCACTCCTGTCAGAGCCCACCTTCCTCCCTTCTCACACTCTGCCCCCACACACAACAACGCACCCTCCCTGTGACCTGGCCCTCTCAATAAAGGCTGACTGTCGTGCGTTTCCCTTTCACGGGCACAAATCTCTAGACCTGACGTCCAGGCAGCAGGGGCACCGGCCTCCTCCCTGCCTCGACCCTTCCTGCCTTGGCTCTTGTCACAGGAAAGCGGGCAGGAGCCCGAGTCCTCCCACACCTGGCTGCGGCTTTTGCACGGCAAACCTCCCCTCCGGACCAGGTTGAGGGCTGAAGCTATGACTGGGGCACCAGGTGGGGACCTTGAGACCCAAGAGCCTGGGGCAGGGAGACAAGGCAGGGCCGCCAAGCAGGGTGAGGCCCAAGGACGGGGCACTGGAGGGAAGGTGGCGGACGGGCTAACGGGGCTGTCCGAGGTGAGAAGGGAAGCGGAAGCTGCCTGGCTGGAGCGGAGAAGAGTAGCGCCCTGGGGTGACGGAGGGGAAAGGACGGGAGTGCACCCCCATTCCCTTTTGACTTCCTTGTAAGGATCAGTGGTGCTACACCACTGAGGTTCTTCCTCACCAATTTTTTTTTGGGGGAGGAGGTTGCGGGAATCAAACTCAGGACCTCAAGCTTGCCAGGCAGGCGCGGTGCCACTGAGCTATATGCCCGGCCCTGAGACTAAAACCTTCAAGGTGATTGCTGTGCTTTATATCTAGATGTCCCCTCACAGCCTCATGCACTTATAGTGGAGCTTTCAGGTGACGGTTACACGGCCTTACAGCTGACTTGCCGCTGGGCAGTGAGATCCCACCAGAAGGGGGCACACCTGTGTCTCCCTGCCTGGCTCCTCCTTTTACTGTCTCTGCTTCTGCCTGCCATACCGCTCCGCCTTGGAAGCAGTGGACTAGTGATTCAAGTGTGAGCCTCCTCTCCTTTAAGTCGTGAGAGTTGGGGATTGTGGCCCGGCCTCAGGAAAGTGACTAAGACAAGGACCTTCAAGGCCAGGCCTAATGTATCCCACAATACCTCACATACTAGGCAAGAGTTCTGCCCAGCTATACCTCCAGCCTTGGTGTTACGCGCATGTGCATTCCTGGGCCCCTATCACCACGCTTGGCTGGCAGAAGCGCTTGCCATCCCAGACAGAATCTCCACATGCATTAAATAATGGCTCTATCATCTCCACCCCCACCCCCGAATAGCCAGCATTTTCTTTCTGACTCTATTCGTTTGGCTGTTCTAGGTACCTCAAATAAGTATAAGCATTCCAAAGTGTGTCCTTTTGTGTCAGGTTTCTTTTTTCTTTTCTTTGTTTCTTTCTTTCTTTTTTTTTTTTTTTTTTTTTTTTGTCTTTTTGAGACACCACACTCTTGCTATGCAATTCAGGCTGGACTGGAACTCACTTTGTAGCCCAGGCTGATCTCGAACTTGCAGGGATCCTCCTGCCTCAGCCTCCCGAGTGCTGGGATTACAGGCATGCGCCACCACGACCAGCTGATTTATTTCATTTAGCATAATGTCTCCAAAGTGCAGCCATGTTGTGACAGGTGTTGGAATTTTACCCCTCTTTAAGGCTGAATAAAACTCTAGTACACGTATTTACCATATATTCTTCATCCGTGCATCCAGTGGTGGACACCCGGGTCACCTCCACCTTCTGGTCTTGGGAGTGTTGCTGTGAACAGTGGTGTACACATACCTGTTCATGTCTCCCCTCAGTTTTGGGTGTAGACCCAAAGGGATCACGTGGTAATTCTGTGAAGTTTCTTCAGGAACTGCAGACTGTTCTCCACAGCAGCTGTACCTTTTTACCTTCCCGCCAGTCATACATAAGGTTTCCACCTTCTCCCCTTCTTCACCAATATCTGTTTGCTTACTTTCAAATGGTCATTCTGCCAGACGTGGTGGCGCACGCCTGTAACGCCAGTACTCAAGAGCCTGAGGCAGGAGGATCTCTGTGAGTTCAAGGCCAGCCTGGGCTACATAGTGAGTTCAAGGCTACCCTGACCTACACAGCAAGACACTGTCTCAATAAGTAAAAAAAAATAAATACACAGTCATTCCACTGAAGAAGGAGTGGTTTGGGTTTGTTTTTCTCTGATTATCCCTACGTATCTCCTTAGGGGAAAGATCTGTTTCAGCCCTTTGCCTTTCTATTGTGGATGTGAGAGTGTCCCACTAAGTTGCCTGGGCTGCTCTCAAATTCAAATCCTGGATGCAGGCAACCCTCCCACCTCAGCCTCGTGAGAAGCTAAAACCACAGTGTGTGTATGTGCATTTATGCACGCCGTACCACCATGCCCAGTGGTCCACCTTTTGTTTTGTTTGAGACAAGATCTCATAGTGTAGCCCAGGCTGGCCTCAACCTGCCTCAGCCTCCAAGTTCTGGGATTCTAGGTGTGTACCACCACACCCAGCCCAGCAGTTCACTTTTAATTGGGTTATTTCTTTTTTGTTGTTGAGTTTTAGGTGTTCTTCATGTTTTCTGAATATTAATCCCTTATGGTATATGATTTGCATGATACAAACTATTTTTTTTTTCTGTCTTTTTGAGACAGGGTCTTGCTATGTAGTTCAGGCTGGCCTTGAACTCACTTTGTAGCCCAGGCTGGTCTCAAACTCGCAAGATCCTCCTGCCTCAACCTCCCAAGTACTGGGATTATAGAGGTGCATTACCACACCCAGTGATATAAACATTTTTTAATGGTAGACTAATTTGAAAAGCTATTAAAGGGTAGATGTATTACAAAATTTTATTCATTTATTCATTCATTTTATTTTGTTTGGGTTTTCGGGTTTTTTTGTTTTTTTGTTTTTTTGAGACAGAGTCTCACTGTGTAGTTCACAGTGGCCTTGAACTCATTATGTAGCCCAGGCTGGCCTCAAACTCATGGAGATCCTCCTGCCTCAGCCTCCCGAGTGTTGGAATTACAGGCATGCACCACCAAGCCCAGCAAAGAATGCTTTTTGTTTCATTGCTTCTCTCTTTGTACTATTGAATTTTCCACATCAAACATGATTGTTTTTATAATTAGAGAAATTATCATTAAAATGATTATTGCTGTTGGTATGACAGGTAGAGTATCAGCAAACTTTTAAGAAGGAAGCTATTGACACTGAGTGTAGTGGTACATCCCTGTAGTCCAAGCACTTAGGAGGCTAAGGCAAGAGAATTAGCATGAGTTTGAGGCCAGCCTGGGCTACATGGTGGGTTCAAGGCCAGCCTGAACTATAGAGCAAGATCCTGTCTCAAAACACAAAAAACAAAAAATAAAAGAACCTGTTGATTTTACTTTAGTTAAAACATTTGCTGGCTGGATGGGTAGCTCAGTGCTAGAGCACACATCTAGTATATGCTTAGGCCTTGGGTTTAATCTCCAGCAACAAAAACAATAGAATTTACCAAGGGCTTTTTATGAACTACCTTTTTTTTTCCCCCTTGAAACAGGGTCTTACCAGGTAGCCCTCGCGGGCCTTGAACTTCAAATTCTCCTGCCTCAACCTCCAGAGTGCTGGGATTACAGGAACCAGCACCATGCCTGGCTCCTGGGTTCTACTCTTCAAGTTTTTCTTCTTTGGTTTCCCTCCCAGCCACCATCAGACTTAGCAACTGGGATCACATTCATTTCAAATCGTAAAAAAAAGTTTCTGACCTGGCAGACGAGCAACAGGCAACACCATACAAATGGAAGGGGTCTGACAAGGGGCCAGGATGCCACAGGAGCCAGAGGGGACTGCCTCAACCAGTGGCCAAATCTGACACAATTTCAGGATGAAAATAAATAATGAAGCACCTGTAATCCCAGCAGTCTGGGAGGCTGAGGCAGGAGGATGGAAAGTTTGAGCCTGGGGCAACTGATCAATTTAGCCAGGCCCTGTCTCAAAATAAACAGAAGAGGGCTGAGGATATAGCTGGATGGGAAGACTCTGGGCTCAATCCTCCTACCACAAAAGCAAACAAAACAACACAATGAGTCAAGTGCAGTAGTGCATGACTGTAGTCCCCAGCACTCAGGAGATGGAGGCAGGAGGGTGCCGTGAACCCAAAAGTTTGAAGCCAGCTTGGGCAACATAGCTCTGAGAGGGGGGGGGGGGAAGCGGGGGAGGGAGAAGGAAGGAAGGAAGGAAGAAAAGAAAGAAAGAGGGACAGACAAGAAAGAAGAAAAAAGATGGGGCTGGGGATTTAGCTCAATGGCACAGCACCTGCCTGGCAAGTGCAAGGTCGTGAGTTTGATTCCCAGTACCGGAAAAACAAACAAACAAAAAAGTGAAAGAAGGGAAGAAAACAATGAACAGCTGGGTGTGGGTCACATATCCCTGTAATCCCAGCACTTGCAAGGCTGAGGCAGGAGGATAACCATGAATTTAAGGTTAGCCTGGGCCACACAGGGAGCTGACCTATAGGAGGCTAACCTATTTTTATTTTATTTTTTTATTTATTTAGTCATTTTGAGACAGGGTCTCACTATGCAGTTCAGGCTGGCCTTGAGCTCACTTTTGTAGCCCAGGCTAGTCTCAAACTCATAACAGTCCTCCTGCCTCAGCCTCCTAAGTGCTGGGATTACAGATGTGCGCCACCACGCCCAGTTTGAAGGCTAACCTAGAGTACATAGCAAGATCCTGTATGCCCCCCAAATTGAATTATAACCCACCCTAAAAAAGAACTATAAAGTCCATATTGATAATAAAACTGAGAGAAGAAAAGTTCCTCTTTGCAATAGTTAGAAGGAAAGTTTTGAGACAGAGTCTCACTATGTAAATCAGGCTGGCTCTGAACTCACTATGTAGCCCAGGCTAGCCACAAACTTGCAGTGATCCTCTTGCCTCAGCCTCCCAAGTGCTGGGGTACAGGTGTGTGCCACTATACCCAGCTAGAAGGAAAAAAAATTGTTTTTGTTGTTCTTTTTGAGATAGGGTCTTGCTATGCAGTTCAGGCTAGCTTTGAGCTCACTCTGTAGTCCAGGATGGTCTTGAACTCACAACAATCCTCCTGCCTCAGCCTCCTGAGCACTGGAATTACAGGGGTGCACCACCATGCCCGGCACCAGAAGGAAAAAATTTTAAATCATTTAATTACATTTAGAAGAGTCTATCTGAATGTAGGAAAACAAAACAAAACAGGTCCCACAACCAAAACAAACTCTGAGGAACACAGTCAACAACATGATCTAGCCAGGCATGTTAGCACATGCCTGTAATCCCAGCACTAAGGGAGGCTGAGGCAGGAGGACTGCTGCAAATTCGAGGCCAGCCTGGGCTACACAAGCCAGTTCAAGGCCAGTCTGCACCACACAGAGAGACCCTGTCTCTAAATAAAGAAATAAACAAATCAAATTTTAAAAAATAACCTGACAGCATTTATAGAAAGTAATGCAAAGACAATTTAATTGGCTACAGCTTACAGTATAACTACAGGGGCTCCTGCAATTAACTAAAACTCAGCTACTATGATTAAACTCTATATTAGTTTGGTCTGAGCTGTTGGGCCCAGTGTAGAAGCCTACTCAATGATCTCCTACAAAATTTTACTAACCCAATAGAACAAGAAGAAAAGATAGATTTAGAAAACTTAGCCAGGCATGGTGGCACACACCTGCAAGCCCAGCTACTCCAGAGATGAAGCAAGAGGGTCACAAATTCAAGGTCAGTTTGGCTAAGTCAGGCGGCACCTGTCAAGAAAAAATGAGAGAATGTGGGAGCTCATCAGCAGAGCGCGTGCTCAGCATGCACAGGCTGTGGGTTTACTTCCTAGTACAGAAAAAGAAAATTAAATTATCCTTTTATAACCACCCTAAGTTGGGCCAGGGATATAGCTCAGCGGCATAAGTGCCTGCCTGCCAAGCAAGCGCAAGGTCATGAGTTCAATCCCAGGTACCAAAACAAAAAACAAAAAAACACCCTAAGTAATGACTGAGTCACACAACAGCCATAATTGGATGCTGGTGGGTTCAAATTTGACAAACAGAATCAGAATATTAGGCAATTAGCAGGGCATGGTGGCTCACACCTGTAATCACAGCACTCAGGTGGCTGAGGCAGGAGGATCACTGAGAGTTCAAGGCCAGCCTGAACTACCTAGCCAGACAGTCTCAAAAAAAAAAAAAAAAAAAAAGACAACCAACCCCCACAAAACAAAAAACCCCAGGATATTAGGTAATTGGTATGTATCTCCCCACAAATTGCTTACTAATTTAAAAGACAGGGAGGGGTAACCTTACAATCAAGAAAATATCACTAACCAAGTGATTGAAATTAACATCACTAATGAGAAACTGGGGCTGGGGATATAGCTCAGCGGCACAAGCGCCTGCTTTGCAAGCTCGAGGTCCTGAGTTTGATTCCTGATACAAAAACTAATGAGAAAACTGACATGTCTTCTGAAGCACTACGCTAAGAAAAAAGCATTACTTTTCTGGCATTCTTGCCTCAAAAATACATAATCTAATTCTAATTGTGAGGAAATGCCAGCCGAACCTAAACTGATGGCCCTTCTATAAAATAAAAGGCCTGCACATTTGAAAACTGTCAGTGTTGGGCGGACTGCAGAGTGCAGGCCTAGGATGTCAAGCCCCAGGTTCAATTCCTGGTACTGGAAAAAAAAAATGTAAACATGACCGAGACCCAACATTTATCTCAAAACAAAAACATAAGAATCAGTGTTGGCTGCACTGCAGCCCAGGCTGGCCTCAAATTCGTGGTGATCCTCCTGCCTCAAGTTCCAGAGTGCTAGGATTAGGGGCATGTGCCACCTCGGATAATTTTTTTTTTTTTGTCTTTGTTTGTTTGTTTTGTTTTGTTTTTACTGGTACCAGAAATCGAACTCACAACCTTGCAATTGCCAGGCAGGCACTGTGCCACTGAGCTAAACCCCCAGCCCTCGGTTTTTTTTTTTATCTTTTTGAGACAGGGTCTCACAAGGCAGTTCAGGCTGGTCTTGAGCTCACTTTGTAGCCCAGGCTGGTCTCGAACTCGCAACGATCCTCCTGCCTCAGCCTCCCGACTGCTGGGATTACAGCCGTGCGCCACAATGCCTGGTGTATACTGTAAATGTTAACATATGCTGGGGTTGAATCCAGGGCCTTCTTACTGAGTTAGATCCCTGGCCTGGCTTCTTCTTCTTGTTCCAGACAGGGTTCCACTACGTAGTCCAGGCTGGCCTCAAACTGTCAACCATCCTCCTGCCTCAGTCTCCCAAGTGCTGGCATCAACAGGTGTGCACCAGCACGCCCGGCTCTCCCCAGCGAGAGTTTTGCTCAATTGCCCCAGCTGGGCTTGAATTTGGGATCCTCCTGCCTCAGCTTCCTAGAATGCTGGAATTACAAGCATGCGCTACCACGCCCACTGAAAAACCCAAAACTTTAAAAGTCCAATCAACATTCATTCTAATGCTATCTCCACCACCTACTGCAGATGCGAACTTAGATAAACCATAAGACCTATCAGAACTTTCAGGAAGCCGCTATTAGCACTATCACAGAATCCTTGTGAGGGCTTTGTGCGACGCCCGAGGCGGGACGAGATGTGAGAGCCAGCGCCGGGCGTCCTTTTGGATCCCCAGGGTTCAGGGCGCAGAGCCCAAGGGAAAGCTGTGAGCTCGGCGGGGCGGGGGGGCGCGGGGGGGGGGGGGCCGGGCAGCTCACCGCGCTTCCGGGCGGCCGGGTACTTACAGCGGCGGGCGCGGGTTCGCGCCCCGCCCCGCTCCTCCCACGGTGGCCGTGAGACTCCGCGACCCCGGCTTCTGGGCCGGCCTCCACGGCGAGGTCCCCGGGCTCCTGGACTGGGACATGGGCAACGAGTGCTTCCTCTCCTTCACCACGTCGCACCTGCCCATGGCCGAGCAGATCCGTGAGTGTCCGCGGGCGCGGGTTGGGTGGCGCGCGGGGCCCTGGGGCGCAGTTGCGGAGCCCTCTCCCGTCCCCTACGACCCACTTGCTGGACCCCACGCAGGAGAGGGCTCGGCCCCCTAACGGGACCGGACCCCCTCAGGGCAGCCGTCTCCCCAGAAACCGCATTTGCGCTCCACCCACCCGCCCAGCACCCAAAACTTTCTAGGCCTCTTCTGGACCCTTCTCGGCGATCGCTCCCCGCCATATCTTAGTTTTGTCTTTTTCTGGTGGCACTGGGATTGAACCCAGGGCTTTCACACTGAGCTACCTTCCCCGCATCCTGAGCTCTGTGTTGCCTTGAACTTGGTCTCCCTTAACGCTAAATTTCGCCAGACTGGGGTGGAACTTGGAATCCTCCTGCCCCAGCGTCCCTGGGTGCTGGGGTGTGTACAGCTTGTATCTGTGCTTCAGGCGATGTTCAGCACCTGGAAGGGCTCAGTATTGGTGACTCCGTGGTTGACCATCTTTCTAGTGTCTAAAAAGGTTTACCCCTGTCTTTGGATTGGTGTGTTGAGGGGATCACGTCTGTATTCACAGCACCTTGTACCCATGGCAGGGAGGTCTTGGATCTAGGGTCTTCCTTGTATCCCTCAGATTCCAGCCCCACCTCCGCCATGCCCTTGTACAAAGCTTAATCCTTTTAGTGTCTGCTTCCCCATCTCACTTATTTAGGTTTTGTTGGTTGGTTTGGTTTTCTGTTTGTGAGACTGGGTCTCGCAATTTCCTACTGGCTTTGAATTCACTATGTAGCCCAGGTTGGCCTGGAACTCAACGATCTTCCTGCCTCAGCCTCCACAGTGCTGGGATTACAGGTGCCACCACACCTGGCTTTCATGTTGTTTCTGATAGCTATCTGTATTACTGAGCCAAATTTGGCCCATTAGTTCTGACCGTAGTGTAGAGTTCTCTTGTCTGCGTGCGTTCCCTTGCATAACCTGGATTGGCCCCAGCTCTTTGGTTTGTTTTTGGTTTTGGTTTTGGTTTTTTTCTGGTACCGGGAATCGAACTCACGTCCTTGAACTTGCCAGGCAGGTGCTGTGCTGCTGAGCTAAATCCCCAGCCCCAGCCCCAGCTCTTTGCCACTGTAGTTAAAGCTAGTGAACCTTCTATGTGCTCAGTTTCTCAAGAGGTCGTTGGGCTAGGGGGTGCAGCTCAGTGATAGAATGCTTGTCTAGCATGTCAAGGCCCTGGTTTTGATCCCTCTCTTCACTGGAAAAAAAAAAAAAAAAGAGGTTATGGTAGTAATGGAGACCACGGATGCTGGTAGGTAGGCTGGACCTAGGTGGTAAAGACAGGCACTGAGAAGGTAACCAGCCTGGCTGGATTTGCTGATGAATTAGATTTGCGGTATAAGAACAAACAAAAAAAATTGGGGGCTGGGGATGTAGCTGAACATTCCAGCACTTGCCCTGCGTGTGAGGCCCTGGGTTATATCCCAGCACTAAAAAACAAAATTCCCAACAACTCTTGTTTTGTTTTGTTTTTGTTTCTTGTTTGTTTGTTTTGTTTTTCTTCCGGTACCAGGAATCGAACTCATGACCTTGTGCTTGCCAAGCAGGCGCTGTGCCACTGAGCTAAATCTCCAGCTCCAACAACAACTCTTTTTTTGAGACGGGGTCTCACTGTGTAGTTCAGGCTAGCTTGGAACTCACAGCGGATCCTCCTGCCTTAGGTTCTCGAGTGCTGGAATTACAGGTGTGCAACGTCACACTCAGCTCCAACAACTCTTAAGAGGCCCATTGAGGGCTGGGGATTTAGCTCAGCGGCAAAGTGCCTGCCTGGCAAGGTCATGAGTTTGATTCTTGGTACTGGGAAAAAAAAAAACCAAAAAAAAAAAAGGGCAATGGACCATCTCTTGGTCCCAACTACCCAGGAAGCTGAGGCAGGAGGGTTAGGTGGGCCCAGGAGTCCAGAGTTAGCCTGGAAAACATTGCAAGACCTCATCTCAAGGGAAGAAACAACAACAAAAAAGAAATTGGCAGCTGACTCCTGAAATTTTGGGCTGACTGGAGGGATAGATTTGTACTGAGATGGTTTTTGTTTTTTTTTTTTTTTGAACTAGAACTCAAACTCAGGACCTTGTGCTTGCCAGGCAGGTGCTGTGCCACTGAGCTAAATCCCTGGTGCTTGTACTGAGATGGGAAGGTGTCATTCAAGACCAGGTTTAGGGAGAAAGATCAGAAATTCTCTGGACTTGCTGACTTGCAGGGGATACAGATGTCAGATATAGGAGCCTGACGTTTTGGAGAGAAGTGTGGGCTGTGGATGTCAGTTTTGAGAGTCACTGGTATCGGAGTGAGTTTTTGGTGGTTTGTTCTGTAAACAGGGTCTCACTCAGTAGTCCAGGCTGGCCTTGAGTGCTGGTGCTGGGGTACAGCCGTGCGCCACCACGCCCAGTTTAGGGGTGGGATTTAAGGAGCCGAGAGAAAGACCAAGGATGTGTCCTATGGCCTTGCACTACAAGGACTTGGGGAGGAGAGAAACACTGCCTGGGCCTACCCAGAAGACCACTGAAAATCAGAACGGTGGACTCTGGCGTCCTAGAAACCCAGGGAAGAAAGTGTTTCAGGGAGGGAGAAGCCAGGTGAGGTGGCCGGGCCCATAATCCCAGCACTTGGCAAGCTGAGGCAGGAGGATCAAGGCCAGCCTTTGCTATATATAGTTGGAGGCCAGGTCTCAAAAGAGAGGAGAGATCTGTGAAAGACTGTTACATTGGGCAGCATGGGAGTCAGCGGCATCTTTGATAAGAGTGGTTTTGGAGGAGTGACCTCGCTGAAGTCCTTTCTGGAAAGTGGTTAAGAAAGGAGGGGCTGGGCGTGCGGCCGGGC